GCGCCCCTGGGCGCGAGGGGGGGGGCTGGGGCTCGGAGGATAGGGATGCGCCAGGCAAGAGCACGATGATCGGTGGCTTGTGGCAGGTGGCGGGCAGGAGCTGGAAAACCAGACGAGGGATGCGACAAAATCAAGGAATGGTGGATACACTTTGAGAAACATGGGAGTTTCGGGTGGGAAAATGGTCGTATGGGGCCCTCAGCAAGTTGAACAGAAGGGAGTCGTAGAAAGGCGTGGCCGCTCAGAGGTCATGATCAGGGTTCAGGGTTCAGGGTGTACGTGCCCTGCGCACCATGCGACGTTGTTGAGGTGGTTCCCCGTGTCCTCATTGATGATGAGGGTGTTGGCGACATAATGCACGTTGTCGGGCTCAGAGATGGCCTCGGTGTTGCATGAGTTGTTGCTGTCAGTGTTGGCTTTCTTGTTGCCGGCCAGGAGGACCTGAGAGAGGGGTTTACAATTTCGATCACGGCATTTGATAGGCGAGGCCAGAGTTGGGAGCGAATGCGAACAGCGGGACGCCTGACGGGGTAGCAGCGGGTCCAGGGCAGCAGGAGAGGTCCCCAGGCCGCGGCTCGGCCCGCTGACGCATCATGAGCATTCGCATTTCTGATTGCAGGGTCTAGGGGATCGGCAGGGGCGCATGCAACAGCGCGCAGGGCGCAGCGGGGCCACGCGGACGTGGGTCAGGCGGGCAGTTGTCTCACTGCATCAACAGCCACACACGCGTCAGGCCCGCGTCGAGGCACCGCCTGCTGCGGACCGGTGGGCGGGCGTAAAGTGCGCCTGGCGCGTCGGTCGCGCGCGCACATGTGCGGGTGCGTTGAGCGTGCACTCACCGCAGACTTTGTGCCGGACCAGTTCTCATCCATATCAACGGACATGATCACGCCGCACTTGTTTTCTGGCAGGCTGATGTCATCTTGGACCGGGTTGTATTGCGTAAGGTTGGTCATGCCCTTGCCGATGCGGGTGACTGAGAAGTACAGCTGGCGGCGCTCGGGTGACACTGTGATGCCCTCCTGCAA